AGATTAGTTCAACTTATATTCTTAAAATTGATACTTTTTTGGGGGTAAAGTGCAACGAAAAATAGTTTAGGAACTAAGTCCCAACTTAGAAGTTAATTTTGCATCTAAGCCTTAATTTGAGAAGTCCTGACTTGTTATTTGCACTTACATCGTTTATTTTATCATATAGTTAAAGAATAAAAATTATATAATTAAAATAATAATAAAAGTGTAATTAAAAAAAATAAAATGTAAATAACATTCCTTTTGAGTATTAATTTAAAAACAATATAAATTTATTTTTGGAAGCAGTAAATAAACACGAGAGATCCAGCACGTTTAGAAACTGTCATCATCAATTATCAATGCAAATCCAAGTCTAATTGAGGTGTCGTATATATATTGAGCAGTGGTCGTGGAGTCGTGAGCCGAAGCATCCACATTCAATCCGATCACCTTCTCCGTTCTCCACCTATCGATCCGTCCATCGATTAATTCCAACCGTCAGATCCAAAAATGAACGACGCAGATGTCTCCAAGCAGATCCAACAGATGGTTCGATTTATTCGCCAAGAAGCCGAAGAGAAGGCGAATGAGATCTCTGTTTCTGCTGAAGAAGTAATTAATTCTTATCTTCCCGTGTCATAATTCCTTTTTTTTTCTTCTTTTTAGATTGAGTGTATTAGATTTTTATTGACGAGTTTATGGTTGAATTTCGATTTTGTTTTGGTTGGAAATTGGGAATAATTGTTGCAGGAGCTCAACATTGAGATGTAGTATTTGATTTCGATCTTTTTTATTCTTAATTTTGATTTTTCTAATTTTTATTTCTTAGTTTTTACGTGATTGGGAAGTTAAGCTTGAATTTCTCTTTCGTTGGCTGGAACTTTTGGAGATAATAGTTTCCGATAACTATTGCAGGAGTTCAACATTGAGAAGTTGCAGTTAGTGGAAGCGGAGAAGAAGAAGATCAGACAAGAGTATGAGCGTAAGCAGAAGCAAGTTGAAGTTCGCAAGAAAATGTAAATTTTCCTTCGCTCATCACTCTAGTTTTCAGTCCTTTATATCATTAATATCTCTGTGAGAGCCTTAGTTATATTGATCGTAGAGTTAATTTGCTGTAGAGCATATTTGCGCTATTGCTGGTGTGTCAATTGTGTGCTGCGAATGTTCTTTTTCTTTTCTTGGTTAGGTTAATGTTGCATTGAGGTCTTGGTAAACATGGGCAATCCGGCTGCTGCTGATTGAGTTGCTGTCTTGTGATCCTGAGTTATTATCACTTGTTAGAGACTTAACGTACAGCTATGAGAGTTGGTAGTCGGTTATGAAACAACGTAGTAGCAGGACCAAAGGATTTTTATCTGGATGGCTTATTAGTTCTCTTTTGATACAAACCTTTGGAAAGATTTTGACTTGTGGTAGCTACACTGTATGACGGTGGTGACTTTTGAGTTTTGGAGGACTTATGGGTTGTAAGTCTTTTGCATGCAATCTGGTGGCCCTTCTTATAGTAGGATTGAAGCCTGACACTTGTTTGTCTCATTGCCTTTTGGTGATGGCGTTTAAACAGAATATGATCTCGCCTTCCAAAAGATACAAGTTCAGTCAAGTTAAAATTGGATTTAGACTCTGTATCATCCTATTAAAGCTTCATTTCCTTGAAGGTAACTCATTTAGGAAATAACATACAGTGAACTATTATGGGTAGAAGTTCACAGTCTGTTATGGGTAGAAGCTCAGAGTCTGTAGGGGATAATGCTCCTTTTTGGTGTTATGCATATCACATAGTATCACGAGCTTTAGTATTTGAACTTCAGTTGACTGTAAGATGTGAAGATTTAAGTCACATTAATGTTTGATTTGTTGCAGTGAGTACTCCATGCAGCTAAATGCTTCTAGAATTAAGGTTCTTCAAGCTCAGGATGATCTCGTTAACTCTATGAAGGAGGCAGCATCAAAGGAACTCTTGCGTGTGAGCCAAGACCACCATAGCTATAAGCATCTTCTGAAAAATCTCATTGTTCAGGTGCCAAAAAGAATCATGAACTGTACTATCATCTCTTGTTTAGTATTGTCATTTGATTTCCTGCAGAAGGGCCAAGGGACAGAATCTTTTGGTTCATAATGAGGTAGCATAAAGTGCAACTAGCAGAATAAATGACCTTTGTTTTTTCTTTTTCTTCCTTTTAAGTTCTTAGCTTGATTGAAGTCTTGGTTTTTTTAAGACAAGAAATTTGTAGTAGACAAACAAGAAGTGCCTAGTTTGAGGATGTTAAATGTCAGGGTATGCATTTCTCAGAACACTGAGCTGCCTTTAATATTTGTGTAGTTTGTCGTTGCCATTTGTCATGTTGTTTGTCTGAATTGTGAATTTGATAGAGATTATCATGTTCACAGAGATATTGCCATTACTAAAGAGTAACTATCTTTATCACAGAGTTTACTTAGACTGAAAGAGCCTTCGGTCTTACTTCGGTGTCGCAAAGATGACTTACACTTGGTGGAGTCTGTTTTGAACTCAGCCAAGGAGGAATATGCTGAGAAGGCAAAGGTTCATGCTCCGGAAATCATAGTGGACTCCATCCACCTTCCACCTGCGCCTTCTCATCACAATGCCACGGTCCTTCCTGGTAATTTACTGCTAATAACTTATGCGGAGCAAATTGGGATGGCCAGTACTTGTGTTTTTCCTCATTTCTCCATTTATGCACTTGCTTTTTCTTCTTCTGTTTCATGCTTGCGACTTTGTGAACCTCCTCCCAGTTTTTGAAATCAGGGGTGACTACAGAGATTTATAATATCTTGTTTTTGTCACTGTTTTTTTTTCAGCTCTGGAGGGGTCGTATTGGCTTCTCGAGATGGAAAAATTGTGTGTGAAAACACACTCGATGCTAGGTTGGATGTTGTGTTCCGCCAAAAACTTCCAGAGGTACTATTTTTTCTGAGATTTTAGTTTCAGTAATGTCATTTACTTGTTTGATTTATTTATGATGACTCTAAACTGCATTTGGCCAAGTGCTCGCCTTTGTGAAAGTGTTATTTGACAAGATCAATGTTTCTTCCAATTGCAGATCCGCAAGAGGCTGTTTGGACAAGTTGCTGCCTAATGGGCTAGAAGTACTGTGCATTTTAAGCTCGTGGTTTCTGCAAGCTCTCAGATCTTAAAAATGGTCATTGACCAGAAAACCTATTTATTACTTGTTCGTGTTCTTATTTTGCTTGTAACCTGTATTGATGCTTTTATTAGTGAAGTGCCCTCCTGTGCTTTAGGCTCGTGTTTAAGGATTGCTTCATCTATTCAAGATTCTATAGTTTTATATCTATTTTGGTTTATTTTTGTATAATAAGTTACTGCTCAAACCTAGTGTTTGTTGCATGAATTCAATAAAATGAAATCCTATCGTAAGGTCGCCATATGTTTCTGTTCGACATTAACAGTATTGAGTAACAAACCAAAAAACTGCTCTTTGGAGAGTGGATATCTGCGTAGGGGTGGGGTTGGGGTGGGGGATCCCTTCTCCATCCCCAGTCCCGCTACCTACAAACTGCCCCCATCCCCCGCTCCCCATCCCCGCTCCCTCCGTTGTGTCCTTGCAGGGCTAATAAAAATTTATTATGATTAAATTTTAACAAATAATTAAGTACTAAAATATCATTAAATTATTATTCATTATAATTTTATAATTGAAACTTATAAAAATAATTAAATAAAAATTATTTGAATACAATCCAACATGATGAAATAAATATAATTAAAGTGGTTAAGTTTTCACTTTTGACACAAATACAATCACTAATTCATTATTGTGCTTGCACTTTTGTTAAGAAAAAAATGTTATTGTATTAAATTTAATTAGGGATTTAGTATAAATGTATTAGTAAATTTAGTATAATCGATTAATAATTTATATTAGTACACATATATAATTAATAATATCAATTATATTATATATACTAATAGACATTATATAATACATATAACTAATAATATTATTATCATAAGTTTGTAACTAATTAAATTATATATTAGATATATAATTATATATATATTTTATATATTTATTTTTTTAAAGTGAGTGGCGGGGCGGGGTACACCCTCCTGCTCCGCCCTGTTTCTAAGCGGGGGGGGGGGGGGGGGAATCATCGCCAACCCTATATGTGCGTATCATTCAGTTGTTAGCCTCTTTTTGATATCTGCTATTCTGACTCTTAAATCACTTGATTCAATTTTGGACTACTAATTCAGACATGCACGGTTCACACTTATTCATGTTGAAATATGCACCTCCGCACGGTAAAACTTTGAACCCATCATCTTTTACCATAATTACAATTTAAATCTGATTAGAACTGCCTAATTGAACTCTAATTAAGTTATGCTATTAAGAAAGTGATAATGCAATTTCTCAAGTCAGCCAAAACTAAAAAATGTCCTCAAACTACTAAAACTTGAGCACAAAGATGCGTACTCTCATTCCACTTAATTGTCATAATTTCCTCACAAATCCTAAACGTTTATAGACTTCGTCGATTGGTGCTATAAAATGTAAAATCATGTTGCAAGCCTTTTAAATGCGTTATTGTTCATTGAAAAAGGGTAAAATAAACATTTGAGCGGTCATATTTTGTAACTAGGAAATGTTAATCCATTTGGCAAAAGAATATTATACAGTTATATGCTCATTGATGTTATATATGTTACTAATTTCTATTAAAGCATGAATGCCGTGCTATCAACTTTAACTTTTTAAAGCTTATTTACACTAGTTATATTTACATCAAGTTTTATGTCAATTATTTTACCTTCTAAATTAATAAATTATCACAAAGAAACATCAACTCGGTATGGAAGAAGTTTACGTACCAAAATGCAAATTATATATTACAGAGGGAAGTCATTGCATTTTCAGAAACTTGATGGGGAACTTTCCAATTACTATAAATCTGGGGAGAGGTCAATCTAATTTCCAACAAAATTGAGGGGTTAAAGCTTGCTGCCTCTATTGCCTCTCGCTCTCCTCAGCATAAGTTTCTCGAAGCATACAACGTCAAACTGAGACAGTGAAACCGTAATATTATCCTCTTCAAAATTTTCTGAAAATTCCTTGATTTTTAAATTCACGGGAAGAACATTTTCTGTAAGTTTAATCTCATTTTCCTGTCTCTCTTTTCCAAGATTAGTTTTTTCAAAATTTTTTTACTGAGAATTCCGTAGTCAAGGTAGTCGGGTCTATAGTTAAGATTCCAGTAATTAATTATTAGGAAGCAAAATTCATAAAAGCTTGAATTTTGCACTTTATGCGTTCGTTCCCTATGTGTGAATTTTGGTATTTTGGACATGCTTGTAGACTTTGCATATAATAATGTCTTATTTCATGACATGGGTTCTCCAAATTATGATAACGGTAATGTCTGGTGGCTTTTATACTGAGGTTTAGTGCATAAAGATTTGATTTTTGTGGAAATGAGAAAAAGCGTGTTATGGTTTTTAAGTTTTTCCAACTTGGAATTGTTATAGTTATTGGCTTATGAATCATATTCAGGAATAATTATTCATATCTCAGCAATTTTGGCTCATGCTTTGTTTTCTATTATCTTAAATAGTGGTTGCATGTCCAAGATTTATTTTCTTTATTTTGAGGGTTATTGCTTCTTATGCATAGGTACAGAAGCTGATATGCTTATGAATGGCGTGGAGAGTAGCAGGGAGAAAGGTGCGTCTCTTATATTATTCTTTGTTGATATGATTTTAATTTAAGTCACTTTATTTTCTGGTTAGAATTTCTTTCGCTGCAGAATAAATGCTTCCTCTTTGTAAGTTTTATGATCCTGCACTTGAAAGCGGAACTTCAGAGGCTGTATGAGGCTTCCTTTTATGTGCTTGTTTCTAGTTAAGATTTGGTCTGTTAGTGCCACTTTTTGAAATGTGGATAACCGTGTGGGGTAGCTTTTGAGTAACTGGTTAATTGCTTGTTGAAGGTGTCTGTTTCATTTTGCCAAATGGAAAATGCATAAGGTCGTGAAATTTTCTGAAACTGTGAATGTAGTCTCCTAGGGTTTTGGTTTATTGAATGCTTGCGGCAGATGCTTTTGATTTAACTTGTTTCTCTCTGCCTCTATGAAGGATTATGTCGCTTTTGGATTAGTATTGACTCTCATGGTTGGTCCACAAATGTATTACCAGATGAAAGGACTGGAGCTTTAAGTTTATTAGGTTATAAGAAAACTTCAAGGGTACTAGTCTTAATTGTGCAGGGTATCCGTGCTTGTCTAGCTGAAGCATTGACCATTTCATTTAGAGATCCAGTGTTCCCAAATACCAAAGTTGACCTTGAAGCAGCTCAGACTACATTTTTTTCCTCAGTCAAGCAGAAACAATGTAAGCAAAGTTGCTTTTTCTTGGCTAAATATTCATCAAGTTTATTCTTCTATTTTGCTTGGTCTAGCAGTCTAGGTTATTCTTTCCCAATGATTCAGTGTTTGATTTGCCCTGGCTTTTCCTGCTACCTTTTGATACTTTATAATTAAGAATTAATGATTGTCTTGACAATGTGGATTACGTTATGTTTGACCTGAAAAGTTCCTTTTCAAACGTGATGCAATTTTGCAAGGAAGGAAATGTCGAAAAGCATAAAAATTCTTACAAAATATGGTTGTACATGTAATGACTTTTGGTGTTGAAAATTTCCTGCAGCATATAGCGTAAACCCAGGTTTACGGATATTTGATGATTTGAACTTCTTCAGCAGCAGATGTCTGATCAGGTATATTCACTTCTTTGTGGCATTAAGTGGACATTTACTTGTTTTTCCCAAAAATTTGCTCGTTTTCAAAAATTTCTTCAAGCTTTTCACTCCAGGGTTGGTCATTACCTTCAAGTATCTGTGTTTGGAGTGATCACAAATAAATTATAGCTTTGTGGCTTCCAAGTGGGCATTTCAAGTTGTTAATAGGAACACTATTGAGGTTAACCAAAAGTGATTGGTGTTTGTTGCTTCCCTATGAGGCTAGAGCCACATGGCAAAAGATCAAGCATGTGTCCTTAAGGGCTAGTATCTGATGGGTGAATAATAATATAATATTGTTCAAACCTGCTTTTTGAAATTTTCTATAATGTGAATTTTGTGGATGATGGAACATCTATAGGATAGTTCTCTTGCTGAGACCACTTAGCAGCAATCAGGACAATTCAATAGCATAGCACCAAGTGATTCCCCTTGAAATGAGTGATATACCATGCACTAGCTGTTACTGAACATGTTTCTCTTACTGAACATGTTTTTGTGTAAGATACACAAACTCCACATTCACACACACAAAACTTCAGGTGTGTGTCGAACTGTGCACCTGGCAGTTGGTCCCTCCCTTGCCAACGGCTTGTGGGCTGTTGGTTAGATTCAAAGACGTACGTATTCACTTAAATTAGGTTAAGATCTTATGGGTTTTTGGTTTATGCTTATATAATTAATGGTAATAAGAAACATGCAAATGGGTTGAGCTGAGCTGATCTTGTTGTCTTTGCCTGGGTAACTTTTTATTCAAGCTCAAATTTTGAAGTTGACTGGAAATTCTGTTATGATAAGGTCAGTACTTGAACGAGCATAGTGTTTACGGAGTCGGTAGAAAATATATAGTAAGAAAACATGGACTTCCAATTGCTCTTTAACTTTTACATGCCATGAAGTAGATTAGTCTTTCCTAAATAACTTCTCGTTAAAGAGTTAAACATTCTTCGTTGTGGAAAGTAGACAGCATATGCCAACATAATGATATCATAAAAAACTTAGCAATTTAGCAGGTTTTGAGTTTTCTCTTGAAACAAGGAAAAGTTAAAAAAAATTCTTAAACACCTGCACATTATGACTACATCCTAATGAGCTTTGCTTTCTATTTTCTTATTTTGAGCCTATAATTTGGGCATTGGTTCGCTACATGATTGAACATGACTGAGTCCTTAGCAAGGACTTCATCAGCTACATGTGAATATAACTTTTGTACAATTAAAAAAATTAATATTCTTTCTTCATTTGAAAACAATATCCTGTCTGATTGCAATGCTTTTAATGATTTGTCAGTGAGGTGACTTGCTTAGCTGAATTCTTTTTGGCTTATCATATTTTGGTGATTCAGGGTGTCTGCCATTATCTTATGGTTTTCACTGTTGAAAATGAATTTTATATGCATACGTCCTCAGGCTTTTTCATGCTAGTCCTCAATTACTGGTGAGAAGAGATGATGACACACCATGGGGACTAAAGACGCAGCTGAAAGGAAAGTTCAAGAACAGACCAAAGAGCAGTTCATCGCCAGTTGAAGCTCCTTACGTGCCTCCTAAAATAAAAAGGGTTTCCAGATCCTTGCCAGATAAAACAATTGAAATATTTGAGGGCATGACCATTTTAGAGCTTGCCAAGCGATGTGGAGAATCCATACCTACCATGCAGAGTATCCTTGTAAATGTTGGAGAGAAAGTTGATTCAGAATTTGACCCTCTTGGCATTGATATTGCAGAATTGGTTGCAATGGTAATTATTTTGGAGCTGTTTATATTTTGTTGTCATCATATTCTGCTTTGACATGAACCAAAATGGTAAAATCTAGTAATTTCGTTAAGCTGTTTCAATTACTGGTTTGAGAACACTGTGACACACAAGATGGGATGGCTATAAGACCCCCAATCACCTTTATTTTGGGATACTGGTCATTTTAGAGTACCAAATCTATGTGATGGAATTGCAAATGCGGAAATGCCTTTTTCTCTTTTGGGATGACTATTTTGGGATATTGGTCATTTTAAAGTACCAAATCTATGTGATGGAATTGCAAATGTAGGATTGCCTTTTTCTCTTCTCTTTTGGAAACTAAATAGGTTGTTCATAGCTCCCATGAGCAGTTGAATAAATGGTTATTTGTATCTTTTAGGAAGTTGGGGTCAATGTAAGGAGGCTTCACTCTGATGAGGGCACTAATGTACTACCACGGTCTCCAGTTGTGACAGTGATGGGTCATGTTGACCATGGTAAAACATCTCTTTTGGATGCTCTACGTCAAACTTCTGTGGCAGCTAAGGAAGCTGGGGCATAACACAGCATTTAGGTGCCTTTGTTGTTGGGATGCAATCAGGGGGTTCAATTACATTCCTTGATACTCCTGGTCATGCTGCATTCAGTGCCATGCGAGCTAGAGGTGCGGCCATCACAGATATAGTTGTGCTGGTGGTGGCTGCTGATGATGGCGTGATGCCTCAAACTCTGGAAGCAATGTCGCATGCAAAAGCAGCTGGTGTTTGGTTGCAATTAATAAATGTGATAAACCAACAGCTAACCCAGAAAGAGTGAGACTCCAGCTCGCAGCAGAGGGGCTGCTGTTGGAAGAGATGGGTGGTGATGTCCAGGTTGTTGAAGTTTCAGCCATAAACAAGATTGGACTGGATAAGTTGGAGGAGGCTTTGCTTCTCCAGGCTGAGTTGATGGATATTAAAGCTCGTAATGATGGACCAGCTCAAGCTTATGTAGTTGAGGCAAGGCTTGACAGGGGACGTGAGCTACTGCTATAGTAAAGGCGGGAACCTTAGTTTCTGGTCAGTTTGTTGTTGTAGCCGAGTGGGGAAGGATAAGGGCCATCAGAGATACAGCAGGGAAAATGACAAATTTTGCTAGACCTGCAATGCCCATTGAGATTGAGGGGGTTCCAATGGCTGGTGATGACATTATTGTCGTGCATCGGAGGAAAGAGCACGAATGCTTAGTGAAGGGAGGAAAAAGAAACGAGAGAGGGATAGATTAAGGAAGCTAGAAAGGAGAAACGAGAAAAAGAAAAAGAGGAAATAGAAGGAGGAGAAGAGGAAGAAGAAGAATTGAAAGCACCTGAACTAGGAGATGAAAGAGGACGAGGAAAGAGAAGAAGAAAAGAGAGAAGAAAGTTACAAGAGAAAGAAAATAAGCCCAAACGGCCAGAATTGCCAATTGTAGTTAAAGCAGATGTTCAAGGCACTGTGGAGGCAGTTGTAGATGCGCTGAAGGGTCTAAATAGTCCCCAGGTATGCTGAGTTATTCAATGAAATATGACCTAATAATTGTACTGTTTGTTGTCTCTCTGGTTGAATAGTTTACTTTAGACATCCTTGCTAATTTTCTATGCTAAAAGAAATTTGTAATGATGTTTATATTACATACAGACCTACATGACCCATATGTATAAATGTTCATATGAACTTCTTATTGCCTGGATATCTGATTCTTTTAGGATATTCTTCTTTCAGGGTGATTGAAATCTAATACTTTCTTTCATAATCTGCTACCAGCTTCCTGTCTTTGTCGTCCATGTGGGGGTTGGGCCTATATCTCAGTCTGACATTGATATGGCAGAAGCCTGCGTGCATGTATTGTTGGATTTAATGTGCGGAATCCACCTAGTTCCATCAGTTTGGCAGCAACTCAAGCAGGTGTAAAGGTATTTTGTTGTCAAACTGCTATAGTCCTATCCTTATCAGTCTTTGTGCCTCTAATTATCACCTTGATTTCTATATGAATGCTTGCTTGTACATTTTTTATACATTACCACCGTACCATTGATTATTGTTGCAGTTTTCTTTGTTCTTTTCTTTTGGATGTCCAACTCGAAAAGAAAATGACAGGAAAATGGTAATTTCTGAGAGGAAATTGTAGATATCTGATCAATGTTTAAAATGGTATTGCAGATAAAACTGCACCGAGTCATCTATCATCTTCTGGAGGACATTGGTAATTTAATTGTTGAGAAGGCCCCTGGGACATTTGAGACCCAGGTTGCTGGAGAGGCGCAGGTGCTGAACATATTTGAACTTAAAGGAAGGAGCAAAGCCAAGGGAGCAGATGTCAAGATTGCTGGTTGTCGAGTCACTGATGGTCGCTTCACCAAGTTATCAACAATGAGGATTCTTAGAAGTGGTGAAGTTGTTTTTGAAGGTTCTTGTACGTCTCTGAAACGGGAGAAGCATGACGTTGATGCAGTTGGGAAAGGAAACGAGTGTGGACTAGTAATCCAGGACTGCATTGATTTCCGGGTTGGAGACGTTATTCAGTGCCTGGAGCAAGTCAACATAAAGCCTAAATTCATTTCGTCAGAAAATGGAGCTGTTCGAATTGAGAGCTAACGAGTTTCGTGCAGAAGTATCATCTGCAGCTTGTGATTTGGAGTCTGGTTTGCTAGCCCTGCACTTTTCTTGAGTAGATGACAATTTTGGTTAAACCATAGAATTTTGGGGGATTGGTGGTATTTTTTACGAGGAGCTAAAGGCTTATTACCAGTTTCCCCGAAACCAATTCTTTTGTTCATTTTCTGTTGAAGAAGAAACCAAACTCAATAGGAGAACTCGCATCGAATTAGTCATTTTGAAAGCATGTCAAGTGTACTAGGGGATATATGGGAACAATAAAAACCGGATGAGCAAGTGAACCTGCTAATCTGATAAACTTTTCAAGGAGTGATGAATGTGTGCTTCTTCTAGCTTGTGTACGTTCCCCTGTTAATGGATGCATTTAGCTTAGCAATTTTCTAATCAGGCTCACAGTTTTTTCATTTTGCAACCATGAATCATAAGAAAGCACTTCCACTTAAGGAGATGCGGAGAATTGCGACTAATAAAGTGATGTTGAACCAATTTCCTGTCAACTGGATGAATCAGAACTGAGTTCGGCGTCCAAAAACAGAACAAAACCAGCCAAAATTTGTCAAGTTTTTCCAAGTGCATACGAACGAATATTCTCCCGCTACAGTGGCGGAGGCAGCAGGGGCCCTCACTTTATATGTTGGCACGAAGTTTCCCACCTCTGTCCGATGTATCAGTCTTCAGTCTGTTTTGGGTTGTGTAGTCTTAGGTGTCATAACGTTTCTGTCTCGGCATGTCTTTAGTGTAGTCTTGGACGCGGGGCAGGAACGGTTGTCAGAACAATCGCTCCGAAAGGTGAAACATCATTTGTACATGGTGTAACATCATCTGTATGATGTATAATAATAGAATAACAGCGAGTAACATTGGAACAACATTTTTGTGGGTTTCACACGGCGTGAAAATCGAGTTACAAGACGTGATCTGAACCGCACAAATTTTTGAGGCCTCGTCTAGGCCATGAACTGCCTGGGACAACCGTCCAGGCCCCTCGTCCGTCTTTAGTGTGGTGTATGCGGTCAGTGTTCTGATATCTCCGTGTCAGCGCTGTAAGAACTGTTTTCCATTTTTAATATAATCCTCTAGCCTTGCTTACGAATATTCTCTTCATAGTATCTCGCTCCTCTTCAGGAACGTAAAATATCTACTAAAACAAGTTGCATCCTGTTAACATGTAGTAATAAATAGCAAGGGGTGCTTGGAAGTCTCTGGACGACATTGCAGTAGACTAGTAGTATTCGTGGCATTGTTATGAAAGAAGAATGACCAGCCGGCAGCCACTTGAGATCGGAGATCGTATACAAAAATATGGGGACCCTGAAAAACATGAATCCTTCCTTAATCTTCTGTGTTTCATTACTGGAATAGCCAAGGGGGTTGAAGCCATGCGAGATAACAACTAGCCATTTTGATGGAAGCTTTATCCTTACGGGTTATCGTTAGCCATCTAGCTCTTTTCTTTTCCTTTTCCTTGCTGAAAAGTTAACCATGTAAAGGCTAAAGAAGGAAAAGTAACAAAAAACCAGGTGATGGTAGCATATGTAAATCAATTTTCGCGAAGCATGTATTATCAGTTCAGCCTACGACATGGGTCTTATTCATTCACGTATTAGTTGAAATTTTGACGTCCCTTGTCCGAATACCAGTAACATCAAGTTCAAAATCAATCAACAATTAGCCAGGCCGAAGTGACTTGGCATGCCATCATCCACGTAATCCTTAAAAGTTTTTAAAAGAATCTACATCAAAATTTGATCTTGTGGTGCGCCCACCTAAGTTCCATGGAGGAATTTTGATGAGAAAATGAACTGGGGGTGGAAGAAGACAGCAGGAGGCATATGCACAGGGGAGTGAGCCCACCATTGCGTTTTCTTCTTGGGTCCGATTCCTTACCGAGCAAATCTCATTGGACTATGGATTCCCTGTGATAATCATTGGCTTGAGAATAATTCTTTATAGGGAATCCATGACTACGACAGATAAAAAACACTAACTGGGACCTAGACTGGTAGCTGAAGAAGCAATAGATTTGCGTGAAGTTGAAGTTGAGTACTAGTGCTACACTCTTCATTTTTAGACGACGCCTTTTCTTGGTGAACAAGTATAATATCTGCTACTCAACATCTTGTTTTCTAGCTTAAAATATTATGGATTCAAGCTTTCTGTTATGCTTACCTGTCTTCTTGAGCATGGAGCAAGTTTTGTTTGAAATTTAGTGGGTTGATTGCAGCAACAGGCCCAGGTGCAAAATGGATTTCTGGATAGTTGTCTGTGGAAAAAATGAATGCCAAAAAACAATTTTGAAAGTGGTTGTAGCTCTGGAATCATGGCAATCACGGATCCATCTTCGTGTGCCAATCATATTTTGGTCATTTCCGCTAATATCTTCCTCTCATTCATTCTTATATTCGCCTTCTTTCGGGGGAATTCATCCAGGAGGGTTGTGGCTGATTCAGGGTTGCAAGGGCGACGGTTCATTTCTCTCCTGTCATTTTCTTGCCTTTTTGTCAATGCAGGCATAGCTTGTATTTACATCGGTTTGGGGACGTGGATGATTGGCAAGAAGTTGAGCAGTAATCAAAGTCTTTCACCTCTTCATTCTTGGCTTGTACTTCTATTCCAGGGCTTCACATGGCTGTTGCTCTCTGTATTCGTGCTGAGCAAGAAGAGCCAATATCGTGCTCCTTTTATTTCAGTGGTGAAACTTTGCTTTTTTACTGCTTTTCTAGCTGGATTCCTCTGCATTCTGTCCCTAATGCAATTAATAGTCGATAAACTGGTATCTCTCAAAGGGGTGCTAGACGTGTTACGGTTTCCTGGAGCGCTTCTGCTTCTCTTCTGTGCTGTTCACGTGAAAAAGCATTCAGAAATTGGCAAAGATACAAGCGTTGAAGCTTACTATGAACCTCCGAGAGGAGAAGAAGCCGGTTTCAGCTCCACAATGAGTTTGAACGATAGGATAACTCAATTTGCTGAAGCCGGAATTCTACATAAAATGTCGTTTTCCTGGTTAGATCCGTTACTGAAGAAGGGTAAAGAGAAGACTCTTGAGGATGAGGACGTTCCTCTATTAAGGCCACAGGATAGGGCCGAAACATGTTACTCATTGTTTAAGGATCAACTGAATAAACATGAAAGAAACAAAATTTGTGATCAGTCTTCTATTCTGAGGTCACTAGTCTACTGCCAAAGGAAAGCTATTGTGATTTCTGGGCTTTTCGCGCTGGTTAAGATAGTAACCTTGTCCAGTGGCCCTGTTTTTCTGTATGCTTTCATTGATCTTTCTGAAGGCAAAGAAGTTTTCAAGTATGAAGGTTATGCACTGACTGCAGGCCTTTTTCTGGCAAAATGCTTAGAATCACTAGCAGAGAGACAGTGGTTCTTTTGGACTAGGTTGATTGGCCTTCAAGTACAGTCTTCGCTAACTGCAGCAATCTTCAAGAAGCAATTCCGTCTTTCAAATGCTGCTAAACATATTCATTCCTCAGGCGAGATTATGAATTACGTCACTGTGGATGCCCACAAAATTGGGGAACTCCCATATTACTTCCATCAGATATGGACAACAGGCCTTCAGATAGGTATGGCATTGGTTATCATGTTCTATGCTATAGGACAAGCTACCTTTCCGGCTTTAGTGGTAATTGTATTAAGCATGCTGGGGAATTCCCGGTGGCTAAATTGCAGCACAAGTATCTGCATCAGCTTATGGTTGCACAAGACCGAATGCTGAAGGCTATAACAGAAGCACTTGCACATATGAAAGTTCTAAAATTTTATGCTTGGGAAACACACTTCAAGGATATAATTGGCTTGCTAAGGAAAGAAGAATGGAAATGCTTAGTAAAAGTTCAGGCACAGAAAGGATATTATATGCTGCTATTTTGGTCAACTCCAATCATAGTATCTGCAGTTACTTTCTGGTCTTGCTACTTGCTCAATATTCCTCTGACTACCAGTAGTGCTTTCACCTTTCTTGCCACCATTCGCATAGTTCAGGAGCCCATAAGGTCAATTCCAGATGTTCTCGGAGTTTTCATTGAAGCAAAGGTTTCATTTTCTCGGATTGCAAAATTTCTTGTAGCACCTGAGTTGCAGAGCAGCCCTATTCATCACTGTCCACAGGGATTTGAAATTGAGCATTCCATACTCATTAATGCTAAGAGAATTTCATGGGACATTGATTCTTTAAATCCATCCCTAGTATATATCAATCTTTTGGTTAAACCAGGTCAAAAGGTAGCTATATGTGGAGAAGTCGGTTCAGGTAAATCAACTCTCTTGGCTGCAATTCTTGGAGAAGTTCCATGTATTGATGGCAGGGTAAGTAGAAATTCACTCTTTCCTTCTTTAGGTTCATCTGAAATTTCTCTTATTGTTAACATTTGTCCTGACTAAGTGGCCTTAATTGGCATGAACTCAAGCATTTTGAAGAATTTCTAGAGAGTATTTAGATGAAAATATAACAGAAGAATTTCAACAAAACTATTGCAAGTATATATGTGTTTTGCACTGAATAAATGGTAGATACTTGAAAAATATCTAAAAGATAGTAGCATCCTTTCATTTTCAGGTCGAAGTGCATGGAAAAGTTGCATATGTCTCTCAGGTTGCATGGATTCAAACCGGGACTATCCAACAAAATATTCTCTTTGGATCCACCATGGATCAACATAAATACCAAGATGTACTTAAACAGTCTTGTTTACTTAAAGACCTCGACATGCTTCCTTTTGGTGACAAAACAGTTATAGGAGAGCGAGGTGTCAATCTCAGTGGTGGGCAGAAGCAACGTGTTCAGCTTGCTCGTGCACTGTATCAAGAAGCAGACATATATCTGTTGGATGATCCATTCAGCGCTGTTGATGCACATACAGCGAGCACTTTATTCAATGTGAAGTTACAGTTTTATTTCTTCTGTCACTGACATTTAAGCTCCTGTTTGAATATTTTCTCAAAAAAAGTAAATGTTCATTATGCCAGGAATATGTCATAGGAGCTTTGTTCAAGAAGACAGTGCTACTAGTGACTCATCAAGTTGATTTCCTTCCAGTATTTGACTCTATATTGGTCAGTAATGCTCTATCATTTTTAATTTTCTTCATCGCCACTTGGTTTTGCTTCTTCTCAATTCTGCAAGAAGTATATAAGAAATGAGATGGATCTCAATATGACAGACAACACCACCATATAAAACTGCATATATTAGTCAACTTATTCATATGTCATCTCTCTATTTAATGTTGCCAGTTGATGTCTAAAGGAAAAATCCTAAAAGAAGCTACCTATAGCAAGTTG